TGTCAAGAAGTCCGTAATCCATCTGCGCATGGGGGCAGGAACTTGCAGCAGGGACAGCTGGTGCTCTAGGATGGGTGGAAGGATGGTATTAAAAGCCGAACTGAAGTCAACGAACAGGATCCTGGCATAGCAGCCGGCAGTGTCCAGATGTTTAAGGGTGTAGTACAGAGCCATGTTCACGGCGTCCTCCGTGGAGCGATTGGCTCTGTACGCGAACTGCAGCGGATCCAGCACAGGATCAGTGATTCGCTTCAGATGGGCCAGGACAAGGCGCTCCAGGACCTTCATGACCACAGGTCTGTAGTCATTTAGGCCTGTGACCTTGGCCTTCTTGGGGACGGGAATGATGGTAGAGGCCTTGAAGCATGCGGGGACCTGACCAAGCTCCAGCGAGGTGTTAAAGATGTTGGTAAACACCGGGGCGAGCTGATCAGCGCAGTGCTTCAGAGCGGAGGGGGAGACAGAATCCGGGCCGGACGCCTTCCGGGGGTTCTGGCTCCTGAACAACAGTTTGACCTCTCTCTCTGTGACAGTGAGAGGGGGTAGGGGAGGGGGGGAGAAAGAGAAAAGTGGTTGTGGCCGGGATGGGTGGAGGTGGGGGGCAGGGGGCAAGGAGAAAGCCCAAAAGTGTTTGTCTTAAATCAGGAGCGTAAATTTATTATACACACGTGCGGAGAGCCAGCACATACACACAAAGGCAGCATGTACCAGCTCTGGGCGCAGAGCCCCGAGTTTCCTGTATACAAGACACACACAAAAGCCAGTCCCGCCCACAACAGATGGGAGGGGGCCACCGGTGAGGAGGCGCATGGGGAGCGTTGGCGCCGTCTGGGATGGGGGTGCGAACAGACAGACAATGGTCATGCAGGATGTAGAGAGGCAGGCATACAGATGCGAAAGGGACAGGGGTGAGACAGTGATTTGCATCATTGTCTGGCGGTGCGGGAAGGACTGGCTCCTTCCTGCAGGTTAGCTGGATAGAGCAGCAGGGGGGGGTGAGTTGGCGTCCCCGAGTCACAAGCAGATTGCCATCACACCCCCAAAAATTGGCATGGTATTGGTATTGTTTTTCTTCTTTTTAATACTGAAAGAAATAGTATGATTGTTCAAAAGGCAACCACTGGTTAGACCCCACCCATTTTCACCCCTACAGGTTCTGGATTAGACAAAATTATTGAAAAGCCTTGATTAACAGGCAAGGCCCATTTAGCTAATTTGTCTAACTATTCTCAGAGGGGGCGACAGTGGCTCAGTTGGTAGAGCCCAAGACCTACTTCACGACTCCCACTGATGACTTCTGTCGGTGTGTCCTTGGGCAGGACGCTTAACCCCACTTTGCCTGAAGACCCCACTGAAAGATCTCAGCTCCTGTGGACTCATCTGCTCTGACTGCCACTCCCCGACCCAGAAATGGATTAAGGGGGAGAAAATTGATGGATGGATGGATCTTCTCAGAGAGCAAACCCTACTGGGGCTCATTATGCCAAGAGGGACTGAATAGAATATAGTACTGTATTATTATAGAGTTTAAATACACCCTCATCTCAAAAGAACCAGGCTTTCATCATAAACCCAACATAAAACCAGTATTCAACAATGAAATTTGAACATACCGTACCATGACAACTTTGCAAAGGGAAGCAATACATTTCAACATAACAAAAATCTCCTAATCATGCGTATTGCTTGTTATACCACACAACGCAATAAAGGATAATGACATTAACCAGTCCCCTTACGTGTATGTGGATGCACGGGCAAATCTAATTACACTAGAAACTCATTACTCCAATCATCTCAGGTATCCTTCTCATTAGCCGTTAACATGCATGTGTATAGTTGACTTGCTAGCCTGCTAATTACCCTGCTTTGAAATTGATATCCTTCTATACCTGGCAATTATGTTAGCTTGCTTCTTCGTGGATGCTATACGACCCACCACACAAGCGCAACGTGTGTTTGCAATGACATTGGGGCCAGCAAGCCGTGGTGTGCCTGCATTTTTCCTGATTATTTACTGAGCTCTTTGTTTTCTTCTGTCAAACAATAACCCCGGTTTCTCTCCCCCCCCCCTTTTTGCAGGACTTATAAATCCTATGCAAAATCTTTATCTTTCTGTCGCGCTCTGGCACTCCATATATCTTCCAGTGCAAACATGTACATAGTCTATTGTCTGGGGCTATTTTTCTTCTCTTCCCATTGACTGCCCATTACTCGCACTGTCACCCACTCTGCCATCGGTTATACAAAAGCTTCTCAAACTGGGGTTCGCTCTCTGCTTAAAGATGTGCTTTTTGACAGCGACATTGTTAAATCAACCTAGCGTTGTCCTGGTTTTCTTGGCTATCACGGTGTCTTGCGCACATGTTAAGTTTCTCACACCTCACTGTCCCACATCGGCTCAGTCTGTGATCTTCCTAAATGTGTTCATGTAGTGTGGGCTTGACCAGCACAATGCAAAGAAAAGAGCGATATTTTATCTTAATTTGAGTACATTCTGAGTGTCGGGACCAACCCATTTAGCCTTATTTCAAAAATTGCTCATTCCAAGGGAAACATTTCTTGTATCTTTTTAAAACAAGTTAATTTTGCTCATACCCATTGGTGAATCTTATCTTAAAGTAGCAATATGTAAGATTTTCATGTCAAGTAATCATCAAATGGACCTAATCTGTCTAAAGGCATTAATAAAGCTATCCATCCATCCATCCATTTTCTTTCTTTATCCGTTGCCGGGTCGCGGGGGCAGCAGTCTAAGCAGAGACGCCTAGCTCTCTGCTTCCTCCTGCTCGTCCAGGGGGGACCCCAATCCGTTCCCAGGCCAGCTGAGCGAACATAGTCTCTCCAGCGTGTCCTGGGTCTTCCCCGGGGCCTCCTCCCTGTGGGACGTGCCCGGAACACCTCCCCAATAAAGCTAACGCTTCTCAAATACTTCTTTAACTGATAACTGTAGTACAGAGATATTTACAATACCACTTTATTTTTCTATTTTCATTTTGAAGTCCCGCCCTCCACTATTTTACCAATAAGAAAGTCTGTGATACAGGTTACCAGAACTCACTGCGTCGAGCTAATCATACTGAACTAAAAAAGGTCTTGTTATGATTCTCAAAACATTATTAACTTTACAAGGAATAAAACCAGGATTTCTATTGGGGCCTTTGTGAAAAAGATAATGGTTATAGATTTGTTGTTGACAAAACTTTTTTCTATCTATTCAGCTGTTATGGTCCCAGCTGGATTCGTCTGCATATCTGGCAACCTGAGTCAGAGAGAGCAGGAGAGGTTACAGTACCACTTTTGGCCAGATTTGTACATACTGCTCCTTTAAAACAGTCAAAACATGGCCAAATATGAGCCTTTTTTGACTTATTTTTTATCTCTTATTCTGTGTGGCATTGTCCTGATTTTCTGGGCTATCACGGTTTTCTTACACACATGTTAAAATATCTCCTCACACCTCACTGTCCCACATCTGCCTGTCCCTTTTGCTCCAAGCCTTTAATCTAGGCCATACTTTTCTTCAATTTATCTTCTTAAATGTGTTCTTGTATTGAGGGCTTGACTAGCACAACTTATAATAATATCGTTTTCTTATGGCCATTATAGTTGGGATTCATGACCGTGGATAGAGGCTCTCACACTGACCAGATGTTCTTGGCACAAGGACAACAAAGAATAAACAAAATTATAATTTGGGGGAAAGTTGTATCTGCAGTTTTGAGTTTGCTAAATGCTAATTACCTTCATTCATTGTGTGTACTGGATAGCTCCCAAATCCATTCAAAACAGACACTTCGAGGCACAAGCATAAAAATACACAAAAACATTGGAAAAAAAATACAATTATTTTCGACTTTGTGTGTAAATTTTGTATAATTTTTTTTATTGATAAGATGTATTTGAGCGTTGTGCAAAAGTGTAAATCTGAAAATTAGATCATTGTTTAAAAGTACATTTAGTTTAGTAATTACAATGTGAAACTAATTAGGCTTTTTACACGCAGTGACATTTATCGAGCCTCTCTTTGTTATAATAATATATAATAATGATAATTGGCTCAGAGTAGTTAGAATTTTTTGAAAATGTCATAATCATCAAAATAAAAATGAACAAAAGCTTTGCAGAGGGCGACAGTGGCTCAGTTGGTAGAGCATTGGCCTTTGAGCCTGAAGGTCGTGGGTTCGAGTTCAGCATAAGACCTACTTCACGACTCCCACTGATGTCTGCTGTCGTTGTGTCCTTGGGCAAGACACTTAACCCCACTTTGCCTGAATCCCCCGCTGAATAATCAAGACTCCCGTGGACTCAGCACCTGCAGGAGGATCAGTGAGGGGCTGGTGCTCTGTGACTGCCACCCCCCTGACCCGGAAATGGATTAAGGGGAAGAACATGAATGGATGGATGGATGGAAAAGCTTAGCATATGTCACGTAATGTAATACAAAGTCATAAATTGGTCTTATATTTTTTATTTGAATTCATAGAGATTTATTTAGAGATTTTATACTTGCTTCGTTTTGTGTGCTCCTCATTCCTGCTGTTCTGTAACTGATGCTGCAACACTGAAATTTCCCCACTATAGCATGAACAAATGATCTTAGAATCTTAATGTATTGAAAGAAATTTACTTTTTAGCGATACACCGGTATAAGAACATTATAATTACATTTTTACACGCTGATTTTGTGACTGTGTAATGTGCACTGCATTTTGTGACAATTTTAAACGATTTTATGACTTGACTTTATTATTTAAGTGTTCTGTAATGCCCCCTAAAACCAAAATGCGGTACACACCATCACACTCTCCCCGGAGACAGAAGCAGTTGTTGGATTATGGCACAATAAAAGTATATGCATTCAAAGCAACTGCTACAACTCTATAAAATAAAATAAAAAAATTTAGTAGAAAAGCTCATCACTGTAAACAGACGTATAGCTCAATAATCCGTGGGTGATTTCAGATGTGGCGGTGCCGAACCCGGACAAGAAGAGCGTCATGCTGTACGTGACATCACTCTTCAAGGTGCTGCCTCAGAGCGTCTCCATGGAGGCCATCGCCGAGGTGGAGACTTTACCCAGGGCAGCCTCCTCCTCCTCTTCCTACTCCGCCCGGGTCACCTCCGAGGAGCACTACCAGATCCAGACCCAGCAGCGCTACTCCCAGCAGGTCTGTCCCCAGTCCCACTCTCACCTCTTTACATGTAACAACAGTTCCCCTTTAAGTTCAGGCCGTTTACAGTGATATGATGATTTTATAGGGAGAATGTCCAGTCTGCTGCCATGGTAACCACTTCTCGCTCTCTTGTTTGCCTTGCGCAAGTATAGACCCTTACTTATATAGAAATAATCACACTTTTGGACTATTATGTTTTATATAAAGTGGTATTTTCTGCTTTTTACATTGGGAGAAAAAGCTCGTTTGTGATTCCTAGACTTGTATAATTTAGTAATTGGGTAAGTCTCAGCACAAATATAACACACACACACACAGAATATCTATTATACATTTGTGGATGTGTAAGTACTATTTTGACGGTAGAAGTGGAAGAAAAAACAAGGAATTTCTTTTTAAGTTAAGAAAAGGATATTTAACTAAAGTGTGTCTGATTTGCGTCAATGGGACAAACAGTTTAGTTCTAGTTTAAGTTTCAATTTTTTTCTCAATCCGAGGGAGAGCTTTTAAAACAAGACATTTTTTGCGTGTCCTCTTGCAAAATATCATTTGAATACAACCATAATGTCCTAAAAATAATTTGAAAAGAATTTGTGTTGACATGTTTGCTGTCACCTTTTTGCAGTGAATAAATAAGTGGTCTTTTTGGCTGACTTTGCCCAAGCCCGGCACGTGCACATTTCCCAGCTGTCATCCTGGCTGTCATTTCCTTTACCATGATAAAAATATTATTGAGTGCATTGGACAGTCCAATCTCCGGGGCTGTCTGCGTGTGGTGTCGTCTCCAAACAGGATTACAGAATGACATTGTAGCTTTACGAACGGCTTGCTATCAGCGTCTGACTCAAGGCGTTATCGGGACGGCCAAATGGGCGCGTGGACACTGCTGTTGTTGTTGAAAGTGGCTCAAAGTGAAAAGATGAAAGAAGCCAGACAATGATACTTTGGCGAAGATTGGATAAGTTGTGCCAAACAAATAAGACGCACAGGCTGCTCTCGGAATCATAACTCTGAATGTGTGTCGCATAAAGTGGCGTATGATTTTGGAGCTGAAATGCTATAAAATGTTAGTAACTTGGGAGGCCCTGGACAAGTCGACTCTATCTGTCAATCAATCCAAATAAATCTACGCCAAAAAAGGCTTTTTATATCATTTAAAACTGGGAAACTTTTGAACCACAAAAATTGCAATCAATCCAGGTTTACTTTTGAATGTGGTGGAAAACGGCAGCAGGTCCTAAGTGTCTCTGAAACAGTTGTTGTTTTGTGCTTTTGAATTTTTATTTTTATTGATTTTTTTCTACCTGAGACGTTGCTGCAGTACAGTGTTCATGGTTTTACACTGGTCCAGACAAGAGCAGAGAGGATTCATGGTCTGAACCAAGTGGATCAGGTGAAAATCCACTGGAGGAATTCTAACTTTTTGAAAAATGTTAATGAACCATTCAGCATTTTACTTTGGACCAGAGCAGAGAAAATGGTCCGAACCAAGAGGCTACTCCACCTTGTGACCCGTCCTGCTCCACCCAGAGGCTACTCCACCTCTGCTGCTGTGACCCGTCCTGCTCCACCCAGAGGCTACTCCACCTCTGCTGCTGTGACCTGAAGGGCTTTTGCTGATCATTACTATTTTTTACTTTTTAGAATGATCCATTTTAATTAAAATTTTGCTGCTACTGGACACCTGAATTTCTCGTACGGGGATCAATAAAGTATCTATCTATCGATCTATCTATCTAGTTCCTCAAAACAATTTTTGTTCTATCACTAGTTTTCACATACACTGCAAAAAGTGATGAAAGATAAGTCAAATTTGTCTCATATTTGGCTAAATTTGAGCCGATTTTGACTTTGCCTTTTTAAAAAGATACAAGAAATGTCTCCCTTGGAATGAAAAAAAATGCAGCAGTTCTTGAAATAAGACTAAATGGCTTTGTCCTGTTTAAAAATCAGTCAGAATGAACTCAAATTACAAAGAAGAACTCTTGATTCAAGCAATTTTTACCTCATATTTAATCCTTTTTTTGCAGTGTATTTGTTGCCTCAGTGAGAAAAAGAGGACCTCCCTCACTCACCAATCACCTCCAATATTCAATTCAATTTGATTCAATTGATTTTTGTACGGACCTAAATTGCCAGCAGTCGTTTCAATGGACTTTTCAAAGTTTGTACATTCACCAACAACAGATTAGCTTCTAAAAGGAGGACGATCATTGGACAGCAGGTCTTCTGTTGTGATTTATTCACATTTTACTTTTGCAAGACTCTCTGTTATTGTTAGGAAGATACAAGTTAGGTACCCCAGCTTTAGCCAAAGTGCTTTCAAATAAGAGCAAAGAAAACACTCTGCATTTTAAGCCACGATAGTATCAATATCTGTTATTCAATGATAATGTCTGCACTACAAAAAATGATAAAATACTAAAACAGTTGAAATTAAGATACATTTAGCCAAATTTGAGCATTTTTTGACTTTTTTTTCATCTCTTTTTGCAGTGTATTGCTGTCATCTATTTATAATGTGCTTGCTTAAATTCTTTGCCTTAATCTTTTGACACCGCAGATACTTTTAACAATAGTATACGTTATTGTATATATCAATGAGAAATCTGCAGGAGTTGGAAGTGCTTTAGAAAGTGTAGTGAGGCTATCAAAAGGTCTCAACAGTCTCTAATAGCCAGTTTGTATTCACAGTCCGAATCCTTTTAGCTCCTCAGAATAAAAATTGACCGCTAAATTGGGGCCTTGTGAATTATGTCGGAAGTATATGACCTTTTGAGTTAAGCAGAAGTGTGTCCCGCCGTCTCTAGGGCCGGCGAGTGAGCTCTCTATAATCACAATATTGAGGTATTGAATTCTGGCATTTCTACGGATTACAATTCATAATATTACTCGTCGATAAATTAAGCTGTAGATTGTATTTGAGTCTGGTTATTTACTGTTCTGTTCTCACTGTTGTGTGAAGGAGATAATAAAAGAGCACCAAACCGTAATTATTTTTCAAAGCCAAACCCGGTCCGGTGTTTTGGGTTCTTAGCAAGAGGAGCCTTTGGGAGAGATGGGCAGCATAGCATGGAAGAGGCGTGTCAGGGTCGGATAGTTTTACACTGGAACAAAGTCCACCGCCTGGGAGCTGCCCTTACTGCAGGACAACACAGACGCACACACATATGCGCACACACACACACATATGCACACACACGTACACAAACACGCACGCACGCACACGCATACACTCATATGCACACACAGACACACATATAATTGCACACGTACACACACACACACACACACTCATTCAGTCACATAGACACAAACACAGACGTGCAAAAACTACTTGAACTGTGCATTGTAGGACCAGCTAATCAGACAGAGGAGCAGAGAGAGGCACAGACAGAGGAGCAGACAGAGGAGCAGACAGAGGAGCAGACAAATGATCAGAGAGAGGAGCAGACAGACAGAGGAGCAGACAGATGATCAGAGAGAGGAGCAGACAGACAGAGGAGCAGACAGAGGTGCTGACAGAGGAGCAGAGAGAGGAGCAGACAGACTGAGGAGCAGACAGACTGAGGAGCAGACTGAGGAGCAGACAGACAGAGGAGCAGACAGACAGAGGAGCAGACAGACTGAGGAGCAGACAGACTGAGGAGCAGACTGAGGAGCAGGCTGAGGAGCAGACTGAGGAGCAGACAGACAGAGGAGCAGACAGACAGAGGAGCAGACAGACTGAGGAGCAGACAGCTGAGGAGCAGACTGAGGAGCAGACAGACAGAGGAGCAGACAGACAGAGGAGCAGACAGACAGAGGAGCAGACTGAGGAGCAGACTGAGGAGCAGACAGAGGAGCAGACAGAGGAGCAGACAGACTGAGGAGCAGACAGACTGAGGAGCAGACTGAGGAGCAGACTGAGGAGCAGACAGACAGAGGAGCAGACTGAGGAGCAGACAGACAGAGGAGCGACAGACAGAGGAGCAGACAGACAGAGGAGCAGACAGACAGAGGAGCAGACTGACAGAGGAGCAGACAGACAGAGGAGCAGACAGACAGAGGAGCAGACAGACAGAGGAGCAGACAGACAGAGGAGCAGACTGACAGAGGAGCAGACAGACAGAGGAGCAGACTGAGGAGCAGACAGACAGAGGAGCAGACAGACAGAGGAGCAGACAGACAGAGGAGCAGACAGACAGAGGAGCAGACAGACAGAGGAGCAGACTGACAGAGGAGCAGACAGACAGAGGACAGACAGAGGAGCAGACAGACAGAGGAGCAGACTGAGGAGCAGACTGAGGAGCAGACAGACAGAGGAGCAGACAGACAGGAGACGACACTTTGACTCAGGTTTAGTCATGCTCTGCTCGCAGCATCTGTCCGGCAGTAGCCATCTTGGGAGCGTCAAAGCGCGACACATCCGCTCGTCAATTAAAAGTTATTTGTCCTCCGAAAGCGAGCGCACCTGTTCCGGCGGCTGCTGCGGCTGCTGCGGATCTCCTCCCGTGGACACAAATCAGGAACTGTCCAAATGTTACAAATGCAACTGTCTTCAAGGATTATTAAAGATGACAATAGCGGCGCGGTGCCAGACTCTGCTACACGGGCCATTGACGGGCGATTACAAAGTTGTACCAGGCTGTTTTAGGGAGGCCATGTGGGGGCAGGGTGCAGTACCTAAAGACACCACTAGTCTGACTGGAGATCTGTCTTTGTACGTCCCACAGTGGGGAAATTTTGCTGTTATCGTTATTATCTTTGTAAATCTAGACATAAGCCATAAGGATTCACTAATTAGAGGTCTTCATTCACAAAACTCCATCTTGCCATAGCAACCATGACAGCAACAGGTCAGTCTGCATCTGCCCCTGCTATGATGCAAAGGTAACTCCGTCAGAACTAATGCCCATATAAGGAAATTGGCTCCAGCTTCAAATTCTATGGGGGACTCCCTAATCTATGGACAAATGTCACTCTACGTGAAATCAATCCAATCCAATCCACTTTATTTATATAGCACATTTAAACAACAGTTACGTTTCCAAAGTGCTGCACAAAAAAGTATAAAATAAATAACAACTTATCCTTAGCTTCACCAAGTATAAAAGAATAAAAATATATAAAACAGATTAAAACCATAAATAGAAATAAAATAAAATAAAAACACAGAGGACCACACAACTCACACAGTGTTAAAAGCCAAAGAGTAAAAGTGGGTCTTAAGACGAGACTTAAAACACTCTACTGTGGGGGCCGTCCGGACATGGAGGGGAAGAGCGTTCCAGAGCTTAGAGCCGACCACAGAGAAGGCTCTGTCCCCCCGGGTTTTAAGTCTCGCGTTAGGGACCACAAGCTGGAGCTGGCTCTCGGACCTCAGGGCGCGCGCAGGAGTGTAAATTTGGATGAGGTCCGAGATGTAATCAGTCCAGGAGAGGGTTTTCTGATTGACACCAGCATAAAGTGCGTCGCAGTAGTCCAGACAACTGGAAATAAAAGCATGCACAACCTGTTCTAACAAGTTAAAAGATAAGAATGGCTTCACTTTTGATAAAAGCCGAAGATGATAAAAACACGATTTTAAAGTGGACATATCGTGTTTTCAAATAATGGATTTTTACATCTAAATAATTAATTTGTGGCCTTTATAAAGCGTAACTGCAATGCCTGGGTCTGAGTCTCATTATTTGTAGCTCCACGGGCCTTTCTTCTACACCTGTTCTGAGGTGCGTCTGAGAGCAACCTGTTTTGGTGCTGTCTCTTTAAATGCAAATGAGGCGCTTTTGACCACGCCCCCATTCAGGTGACACAGGTTCAACTCCACCCCAAGCGGCCATTTTTGTAGTTTCTAAGCACAGATACAATTATCTGATAGAAACTTCTCATTACATCGCAAACATGAAGCAGTCCTTCCTCATTGACTGAAAGCAAATGTTAATTTTCATTCTTAGTCCAGTCTTATTATCGACTCTTCTCTTTTTAGCTTTGGGATCCATGCGCACAGTCTATGATGCTCACACGCCGGTTTGACAGACACATTGACAGAAATTTTAAAATTGAATATTACTTATGCACAATTTTACAGCATTTAAAAACGTTAAGAACGTTTTTCCTTCTACAGAAGGAAAAAGACGCATTTACCTCCGGAGCCGCAGGTTGCCGACTCCTGGTTTATACAGTATGTGGAAGGAAAAACTGTAGAGGATCAGGATATGTGCAGTTTCAACAATAAAATAAAATGCAATAGTCTACATTACAAGAGAGTAATAAACATGTCTCAGAGTGAAGGAGGTGGACACAGACAACACTATTCTTTGTTACAGGGATGAGAATTGGTCAAAAAAGACTGAAATGCATATTGTCAGACATTTGCTGGCTCTAAATCTATTTAATTTGTTCACAACATATTACTTTTGGGCTCAAACATGAACTTTTAATGCAATGCAAAATGTAGGTATCAGAGCTTTATTTAGGGCGTTTAATCGCGCTTCGAGAGGAGGGGGAGACGCGGACTGTTTCCTGCAGCAGTGTATTTATTGGGTGCACAGATTACTCAAAGACACGCACAGGACGTTTATGGGGTTGGGTACATGGCCACGTTGAGGCTGCGCGCTCAGCCACAACACGGTGGAGCGGCCGCAGATGCCCCGGAACACTGCGGCCGCTGAGGTAGTGGAATCCTGTTCGAGTACATACAGCAGGTGCCCCGCGGATACGCGCGCCCCGCTCCAACAATTCTCAACGGATTTACACTTCTCATAAACATGTGTTTTATATGAGGCAGACAGACCGGCCCAAATATGGGCATCGGCCCTTTGGGCATTGCCCGGTACGCCCGATGGCCAGTCCAGCCCTATTCGCTGGCATCCTTGAGCTTGGACTACAAATTCGAAGTGATGCGCAGTAGAGGAGGGCTGGGCCGAAGTGTTTTGTTTGACGCCTATGCCCTTATATAGCAGTCTCGCTGCAAATACTGTGACGTAATAATTCTAAACACGTAATAGAGAATGGCAAAATCAGAACGGGTTGAAAAATCTTACCTAAACAGAATATGAAGTGTTCTCTGCAACCCATGAAGAGACTGATTTCAACTTTTTTGCACTTCTAGAGGCTCCAACTACACAACATAAGGCATTTAAGGCACAAAAAGTGGATTTTTCATGATATGTCCCCTTTAAAACGTCATTAACTTGTTTGTCAAATTTAAAATCACTGTCTATAGTGACGCCAAGGCTGGTGACTTTGGAACGCACATAATTTACTAGTGGTCCCAAGTCAGTAAGGGCCGGTCCAAATGTTAAAATTTCCGTTTTTCCTTCATTCATTACTAAAAAATTCTGGACTAACCAAGCCTTGACGTCACATAGACAGTTGAGCAGGGGCGTCAGGGGGGCATGGCCTCTCGAAATTGGCATATAAATATGGCAGTCATCTGCATAAAAGTGATAGGACACTCCGTGTCTGTTAAAAATCTCCCCAAGTGGGAGGAGATAGAGTGCAAAAAGGATAGGTCCCAAGATAGATCCTTGAGGGACACCACAATAAAGTTAAGCAGAAGAATATGTGGCATCCCCCAGCCTGACTGAGAAAGACCTCTCCGACAGGTAGGACCTGAACCACTCCAAAGCAGTCCCCCTGACGCCCACACAATCTCTCAGGCGGTCTAAAAGAATTGTGTGGTCAACAGTGTCAAAAGCAGCAGTAAGATCTAAAAGCACTAAAATGTTGGAGCCTCCAGAATCAGTCAACAAAAGCCAATCATTAAAAACCTTTAAAAGTGCAGATTCAGTACTGTGCAAAGCTTTATATCCAGACTGAAATGGGTCTAAAGTGCTGTTTTCATTTAAAAAAGGTTGCAGTTGTGCCAAAACACATTTCTCCAATATTTTCGAAACAAAGGGTAGTTTTGAAATGGGGCGATAATTTGATAAAACCATGGGATCAAGACCTGCTTTTTTTTTATCAAAGGCTCAACAACAGCGCTTTTACAAAAGGAAGGCACATTGCCAGTTAGCAAGCTGCTGTTGATGATGTCCCTCACAGAAGAGCCAATAGTGCCCCAAACCTCTTTAAAAAAAGCGAGGAGGGACTGGGTCCGTGGGACAGGACGAAGGTTTGAGTTTGCTCATCATCTCAATGATCTCATCTCATCTCAACACCGACATGGACACTGACACAAACTGACTAAAAACGGTAGAACATCGAGTAGCCATGTTAAAACTCAATGATGAAGGAGCTAGATTGGCTCGAATAGAAGCAACCTTGTCATTAAAAAAAGGAGACCAATCGTTCACACGTTTCATTAGTTATCTCCAGTGAAGTGACTGGATTCGGATTAAAAACAGAACTAATAGTTTTAAAAAGAGTACGTGGCTTACTGATGCTATTTGTAATCAAGTCTGAAAGATAGTTTGTTTTCTCAGCTTTAACCACACTTTGGTAGTCCCGGCACTTTTCTATAAGAATTTGGTAAGAAACCTCTAAGTGATCCCTATTCCACCTACGCTCCGCCCTTCGCCACTCACGCCGAGCTGCCCGCATGGTGTCATTGAGCCAAGGCTTCTGTTTTTGTTTTGGACAAATAGCATCAGTCTATATCATTTATATTTTCTCTTGTGTTAGCCATATTCAACAGCTTTCACAATAGAAAATGGTATTTCAGTTCACTTCGCACTTGTGCAAAAATTTCACAAAACTGGTCTTTTAAATGAATAAATAGTTGCTCTAAGATGTAGTTTCAAGGTTTTTCTCTTCACAAAGCGCGTGACAAGAGAGCAAGTGCTCTGCCTCGACATACACAAGCATTTTTAATTCATGGCTTTGCTTTTGTTAAATGTATAACTTTTGGCTTCGGTGGAACTGTATCAAAACAAACAACAAATAGCATGTTTGCCTCGCAGCCAAAAGGTTCCAAGTTCAACTCTTTAAAACATTTAGAATTGCCATGTTTTCTTCATATCAAATGCATGGAATGACTCACTCCTTATATTGGAGTCTTAGTCGCGGGTGTAGATTCTTGCCCTGTGAACCGACTGGGACTCTGAGGAGCACAGGGACGGCCTCCTGCTGGGACTCTGAGGAGCAGAGGGACTGGCCTCCTGCTGGTGCCAAGGGTCAGGACCAAACATGGGGAGGCAGGATGTCACATTATGCGGCTACAAACTAGAACAGTCTTCCTGGAAATGTGAGAACTTGCATACAGACTTCTTCTCTGACAATATTCAAATCCAGGTTTACGTAAAACAATTTTGTTCAGCTGTGCATACAACCGAGGGATTTTATCTTCACTCTTTTTAATGTACAGTGATTATTTATCCATTTATTGCCATACTAATACTGTTTCTAGTGCCCTGCACTGCAAAAAGTGATTAAAAATAAAATGTTAAAAATTGCTCCAATTTGGCAAAATGTATCTTCATTTGGGCACATTTTGACTGCCTTAAATCCAGATCTTCCAATGGAACAAAGCAAAATGATCTTGATTGAAAAAGTTTTTGCAGTGTACAGATGAGCTAGCCTTGCCTTGCCCATAGCTTCTTGTTTACAATTCACACACATATTTTTTTAGTTATGCATAATGTTATTTCTTTCCATTATTTTCCACAATCTTGCCGAATTATCCGGACAATAGCAATCTCAAACCGCATCGCATTATGATTCTGTGTCGCGCTTGTCTCTGGAATGAGTCATAGCGCTCTAATGAAGCTGCTGTAATTGCCTCCTCTCTCATATAGATGTTATGTGCTATGCAGAATTATATCCTTAATCGTCAGCGTTCACGTTACGCGTCGAAGACATAGAGACCTCAGTGTGACAACGTAATCATCAGTTCAATAACTAAATAAATGGGTTCGTGAACTACTCTTGTGTTTTTTATGCAGTGGATAAACAGATTTACAGTTTGGCTTTGGGCGAAAAGGCAGTTAACCCTTTACTGTTCACTCCTTGAAGAAAGCAATGTCATTTTTTTGATTCTCTACGATGTAAGATGTTTATTTAATTTTTTTGCAACCCCTAGTTTTTTTTAGTTTTTTATTTATTATAGGCCTTTACTATGTGGTTGAGATGCAGTTCGATCGTAAAAGTGCCAATAAGTGACAGAGATATTCCAAGCTTCAAGTCGATATAGTGACTGGTTGAGGGATCCATTAAAGAGTTAAAGGTGACCACATATTGTAATTCAATGTTAAAATAATGTATATTTTGGATCGTGGGACACTAACTATTGTGTACACTGCAAAAAATATATAAAATATGAGGTAATAACTGCTTGAATTCAGCGGTTTTTATCCTAACAAGATTTACCAACGGGACGAAGCCATTTAGCCTCAATATGAAAAACCGTTATTTTCTCATTCCAAGGTAGACATTTCTTGTATCTTTTTAAAACAAGATATTTTTGCTTAGTCAGAATGTACTCAAATTAATATACATTTTGCCACATTTTTGCCACATTTGAAGGGCGAGCACTTTTTGCAGTGTTCGCCCTTCAGGTAGCTCCCCAAAGGATTCAAGAACTTAACACATGGTCCTGAACGATTCACCTTTGAGTCAGAATACTATTTTAACTATAAATGTTTACATAAATGCAAGTATAGTGTACAGTATAGTGATATATTATTATGGTTATGTTTGTTCTGCTGCCTGCCCCCAACCCAGAAATGGATTAAAGGGAAGAAGATGGATGGTGTTCTGCTGTAGTTATTATGCAGACTACACTTTTACTCTGACTGCTATTGGAGTAGCTCTCTTCCCATTGCAGAAAGTTAGGTGTCTATTTGATTACGAGAACTAGCCTTAGATATAGGATCACATTACTGTCCATTGTCATTCTCTATCATTTATAACAGATTTGGTTTGCATTTGTATTGTAGGTATTGCATTATTTTTAGAATTTTTGCGGAGCTACTTGCAACGGCATGGCGAGGTACTGGTAGCTCCCAAACTATAGGTTGTAGATTCCTGGTGTAGAGTGTGTATTTGTCTATGATAATACTAGATTTTGATTCATTTTGGCCAATCAGGAAGCTGCAAATATGAGTGCTTGTTCCGCGCTCTCTCTCTCTCCGTAATTAACTAAAGACCTGAAGAGCTTGGATACGGTGATGAAGATTTCTCAAGCTTGTAATCATGTTGGCTGGTCAGATTGGCCGTTGACAAGATTTCGGGAATAATTTAAGGATTATCTCTGATCAACTTGAATGAACAGTGAATCTGGCAGCTTACTTTGTGGCATTGTGTTGCAAAATAATACATCTTAAGATTGAGCTTTTTGAAATTCAGCACCACAGAATACAATGCAGACTACAAACAAGAACGAAGAGAAAAGCAAATGTGTTTGTAGCTATTGTCTGTGAGGGAAAACAAATTTTGCATGGGGTTTTTTGGACCTCACACAGCAGTAGTTATCTCAGAGGACTTTACAAAGCTGTCAATTCGCCAACGAAGATCAGAGAATCAAACTCAGGAAATGTCATGATAAAAAACACATATAGGGTCCATATGGGAGAGATGGCCAATGTCCATAAATGTTGATAAAGTCCATAAAGCTTAATACTATTGCAGTCACAGTTTGCCCTGGGACCATTTGCAGCACACCCTAATGATTCAAAAAGGTTCATTTTGATTTTTTTTGTGTGTGGTTCTTTTGAAAGACAAGTTGGATGTATTTTACCGTATTAACATGTTTTGGCTGCAGAGTTGGTCATACAACAAACTTATTTTGTATACTTCTCTACAGTCTTTGAATATCGTTTTTGCAATTGCATTGGTCACACTTTTTTTTTAAAACTCTATTCTGAGGTCAGTTTGAGAAATTATCTCAACAAAAATCTGGTTTGGCAGTTCCTCTTGTGTCATCGCTCCAGCTGCACTGACAAATTGAGAATGAGGGTAGACTTGGTGTGGGTCTGTTGGGTAAAGGACCCCTCCCTCCTATAGGTCCATAAAGCCTTGTCTTTTTAATGCACTCCACAGAATAGGTTCCAGACACAGAGGGGGCTACAGCTCTGAATGCACCACATGTTGTAAAAACAATGAAGATTACATTTATTATTGCGATGAACTGGATGGAACATAAATTGATAAGCATTGCTGATATTTTAGTTTGTTTGCATCAACAAGATAAAAATGATGGCAAAAATTTAGGAATGTCATGTGAAAATTTAAATATTTTGCAGCCGCTTTTTGCTTCAGCCTTCTCCTTTTGGGCCTTTTTTTTTGTCTTTCTTGAATTATTTGTGCATGTTATTGTGTATTGTCAAACTGCTCAAATAAAAATACTACTACTACTACTACTACTACTACTACTACTACTCTGTAAAAAGTGATGAATAAAAAGTCCAAAATTGCTCAAATCTGTCGACATGTATTTTAATTTGAGCACATTCTGACTGCCTTGTCCCATTGGCAAATCTTGCTTCACTGTTGTCACAAACATGTAAGTCCCAGAATTCTCCTCCTTTATGTCGACGATTCTTACTTTTCGTTGTGTGTTTGTGAGTGTCCTGACCTCTGTGTGCCGGAGCAGACGTATCGATTGTGAACAGGAGGTCTCACTCTGCGCACGGCCTGTTGTTCATTCTGTCCACATCACATCTGTTTTTGTGTCTGCATCTGTGGCTATCACGTCCGCATTTTCTGTATCCGGCTTTCCATCCAAGTATCCGCACAAAAACAAGATATACAATTGTAATCAAGCACATCATAAACAAACACACACAAATTGATGAAAACACTATACCTTATTACTTAAACTATACATTAGTTAGCCTTTAAGTCATAGGGCCATAGACTGTATGGAGATGGACAATGCAAAACGCCCTAACTCCATTTACCCCAATAGGGAAGTACTCATGGACAAAGTTTTCCTATTGACTTGCATTGAAAAGTAAACTCCTCTAGCTCTGTAACCATTTCAATCCAAATCTTCCTGATGTGATATTCAGTTGGCAAATCCAGATACGAGCCCAAACAAGTGACCAATCAGGAGCCTTCTAGTAAGCATAGCGCAAGTAGGAAGGGTCGACGCCACTCCTGATTGGTGCTTGTTAAATCGGTCGTTGCGAACAACAACATTTGCATACATTTGGCTCCACATTTCTGTTTGAGCTAGCTTTAATCGGCCTCTTTTGCATGAAGGCTAACGCTACAGGAGACAGCCGCTCTCACTCAAACTAATATACAGTCTGTTGACGTAGGAAAAAGATTACTTTGACATAATTGTATACTCTTTATTCAAGAAAGAGAGTAGTATAAATTGGAAAGTAATATCCATTCTATCGCTATAGTAACAAAAATGCTTTACATTGTTGTGCATTATGTCGCAAGCTATAGTATTGTAGTCACAGTTGCCCTGGGACCATTTGCAGCACACCAGACCATACACACACACACACACACACACATACACACACACACACCCATTCAAAAAGGTACATTTTGTCTTGAGTTGAAATGTTTTTATTTTTGGTTCTTTTGAAAGACAAGTTAGATGTATTTTACCGTGTTAACATGTTTCGGCTGCCGAGCTGGAAATACATTGAACTTATCTTTCAAAAGAACCACAATTACACATTAAGAATGACACCACAAACACTATAAGCTATAACTATAAAGATATAGTAGCATGAAGTTTTTTGTCATTTTTGAGTTTGGATGGAAACGCTGCTTCCATGTGATGATTCATGTTGTGTTTTCTGTTCTTTTTTTGCTTCTCTCATCACCTCTCTGCTCTATCCTCTGTTTGAATGTGTGTGTGTGTGTTGTGTGTGTTTTTGTGTTTGTTTTTTCCCTCCACTGCTCTGTCTCTGTCTCTGTCGCTCTCAGATCACCGTGAGTGTGGCTCAGGGCAGCGTCCGGAGCCCCTCTCCACAGCCGCTCTACAAAAGCTTTGCCTACACCCAGGCCGCATATGTCACGTCCCCCGAGCAAAAGAGGAGGCGATGTACTGAGCAGGTCCGTCTGAGGGGTCTATGGTCGGAGGGTCTATGGTCTGAGGGTCTATGGTCGGAGGGGTCTATGGTCGGAGGGGTCTATGGTCTGAGGAAGCTATGGTCTGAGGGTCTTTGGTCTGAGGTCGATGGTTGGAGAGGTCTTTGGTCTAAAGGGTCTATGGTCTGAGGGTCTATGGTCTGAGAGGTCTATGGTCTGAGGGGTCTATGGTCTGAGGGGTCTATGATCTGGGAGGTCTATGGTCTGAGGGGTCTATGATCTGAGGGTTCTATGGTCTGAGGGGTATATGATCTGAGGGTTCTATGGTCGGAGGGTTCTATGGCCGGAAGGGGTCTATTGTCTGAGGAGGCTTTGGTCGGTGGGGTCTATAGTCTTAGGTTTCTATGATCAGAGGGGTCTATGGTCTGAGAGGTCTATGGTCTGAGGAGGCTTTGGTCGGTGGGGTCTATGGTTTTAGGGGTCTATGATTGGAGGGGTCTGTGGTCTGAGGGGTCTATGGTCTGAGGGTCTATGGTCTGAGGGGGCTATGGTCTGAGGGTTCTATGGTCTGAGGGGGCTATGGTCTGAGGGGTCTAGGGTCTGAGGGGTCTATGGTCTGAGGGTCTATTGTCTGAGGTCTATGGTCAGAGAGGTTTAGGGTCTGAGGTCCAAGAGGTCTATCATCTGAGAGTTCTTTGGTCTGAAGGGTCTGTGGTCTGAGGGTCTATGGTCTGAGGGGTCTATGGTCTGAGAGGTCTATGGTCTGAGAGGTCTATTGTCTGAGGGGTCTAGGGTCTGAGGGGTTTGTGATCTGAGGGTCTATGGTCTGAGGTATATGGTTGGAGGTCGGAGAGGTTTATGGTCTGAGGTCTGAGAGGTCTATGGTCGGAGAGGTCTTTGGTCTGAAGGGTCTATGGTCTGAGGGGTTAATGGTCTGAGGAGGCTATGGTTGAGGAGGCTATGGTCTGAGGGGTTTATGGTCTGATTGTCTATGGTCTGAGGGGTCTATGGTCTGAGGGTTTTATGGTCCGAGGGGTCTATGGTCTGAGGGGTCTATGGACTGAGGGGTCTATGGTCTGAGGGGTCTATGGTCTGAGGGGTTTATGGTCTGCGGAGGCTATGGTCTGAGGGGTCTATGATCTGAGGGGTCTATGGTCGGAGGGTTCTCTGTCGGAAGGGTCTATTGTCTTAGGAGGCTTTGGTCTGAGGGGTCTATGGTCTGAGGGGTTTATGGTCTTAGGGGTTTATGGTCTGAGGGCTGTAGCCTGTTATATGGTTAAAAAATGAAATTACAAAATGATTCAATCCCAAAGTACACTATGTCTGTTGATTACTGTCTGTCTGCACGTCTGTCCCGTCACCGCCACTCACTGCTTTTTTTCTAACCTGGAATCAATGACAAAAAACATCCATCCATTTTCTTCCCCTTTGTGCATTTCTGGGTCAGGGTGGCAATTAGTTCCACCCAGTCCACAGAGCACCGGCCCTTCACTGATCCTCCTGCAGGTGCTGAGTTCACAGGAGGATGGCTGCTCTGTCAGTGTCAACACAACTTTGATCTTCCAGAATCAGAATCAGAATCAGAATCATTTTTATTGCCACGTAAGTAACAGGAAGTCACAGACTTGGAAATTGCTTTGGCTCAGTGCAACAGTCAGAAAGAGAGGTAAGGGTAGAGAAGGCATAATAAAGAATAAGAATAACAATCACTTCTAAGGAATACATTTAAAATAGAGTTACAATTACTATATACAATATACAAGTGCACATGGTGCACACAATGTAAGGTGACAGCAGTACAGTGAAGTAAAGTGACGTATGATGGGCAGTAAAGTGACTTTATAAAGAGCAGTAGGGGACTTCTAGAGGGCGGGGGGACAGGTTAAGACAAGTTCAACAGTCCAACAGCAGAGGGGAAGAAACTGTTGTTGTGGCGGGAGGTTCTAGTCCTGATAGTCGGTGTGCAGGTGAGAGGGGTCGGCTGTGATACGACCAGCCCGGCCTCGAGCTCGGGCGATGTACTGGTCCTGCAGCGATGGAAGGCTGCGGCCGATCACTTCCTCTGCAGAGCGCACGATGCGCTTTAGTCTCCGTTTGTCCCTGACTGTGGCTCCAGCGAACCACACAGTGATGGAGGAGGTGATGAGGAGGTGATGGAGGAGGTGAGGATGGACTCGATGATGGCCGTGTAGAACTGCACCAACATCTGTGCAGGCAGCTTGGCTTTCCTGAGCTGCCGCAGGAAGTACATCCTCTGCTGGGCCTTCTTGATGAGGGAGCTGATGGTCGGCTCCCACTTGAGGTCCTGGGTGATGGTGGTGCCCAGGAAACGGAAGGACTCCACAGAGGTGATGGGGGAGTCCATCACGGAGGGTGGGGGCGGGGGACAGTGCTCTTCCTGAAGTCCACAATCATCTCCACTGTCTTCTGGGCGTTCAGCTCCAGGTTGTTACCACTGCACCAGGACACCAGCCGGTCCACCTCCCTCCTGTAGGCGGACTCATCGTTGTTGGAGATGAGTCCAATGAGGGTGATCTCGTCTGTGAACTTCACGGAGTCGTGGCTGGAGGTGCAGTGGTTGATGTACAGGGAGAAGAGCAGGGGAGAAAGAACACAGCCCTGTGGGGCTCCTGTATTTATAATCCGAGAGTCCGAGACATTCTTCCCCAGACGCACTCGCTGCTTCCTGTCTGTCAGGAAGTCAGTGATCCACCTGCAGGTGGAATCGGCTCCTGAGGATGAGTAATTATGCCTCCAAAACTCAAAGCTGTCAAATGGACTTCTGGGAGTTCTTGTGTTAATAGTTGAACCTGAGGTAATTGTTTTCACTTTATGATTTTTAAAGTCTGAATCGTCGGGAAGTCATTTTTTCAAGAAAATATAAAAAGTAGCAATGTTCTAAACCCTATTTTACTCAGATCCACATTATAACAAATGCTAAAAATTATAAGCCAAAATCTACACTCAAAAAAAAGATTTTTGGGTGTAGTAATATATATTAACTCAAAAGTAGTAGTTTTTACCTAACAATATCAACTTTCAGCGAGAACTAGTTTAAGACAGAAATATATACACAGTATATTCAGGTAATTAATTAATTGAATGGGAAGAGTACATCTTATCAGAGATTTGCTCATACCAATTACATGATTTATTGTCATAGCACCAACACCTGAAAATATCAAGTAACTTTTAACAATTGGGCGAAGCAGTGACGCTACCCAGAATGCACTGCAGAGAAAAATATTACATTCTGAAAAAATCTACATTTGAGCATCAATTTTGAGAGTGAATATGTAGCAGGTCCTAAAGCAAAATACGTGAGCAACATTTTGAACAAACTAATTTGACCAAATACATTTCTAAAACATTTTTTTTTTTAACCAACCATAATCGACATGACCAAGCCAAAGTATGACTATACTTACTTGGTCTTCTATTTGCATTGTTTAAGTGACTTTGCACACTGTTGTAAGTAAATTTTACAAATCATGTTTATGCGTGTATAATGCCTTTTTAATAATTAGTTTCATCAATTTCAGAGAATGAGTCACAAATAGCTCACAAGTTTAAATCCCTTTCTACAGTTAACTCCCTCTCTGCTTGCAAAATTTTTTACACATAAGTCAACGTTTAAGTGTTTTAAAGTTTTTTTTTAAGAGCTGCTCGGCAACAGCACGTACATAACTTTGGTCTGTAAAATGGACTTTATACATAAACATTACTTACTATAACTTTATGGGTGAAGACAACGAGCAGAACAGGCGACCAACTCTACTGCAAATAAACACCATAATTCTCAACATTGCTGTTTTAACACAAGATGACTTTAGAAAATGTTTTAAAACCATCTGCACTACAAAAAAAGATTCAAAATATAAAATAAAAATTGCTCCTTATTTGGAGACATGTAGCTTAATTTCACGATTTATTGACTGCCTTACAACAAGATTTGCAAATGGGACAAGCAAAATGATTCACTCAATTCAATCAATTACACAATACAATACAATACAATTTATTCTTGTATAGCCCTAGGTCACAACAGAAGTCATCTCAGAGGACTTAACAAAACCATTGAAATCACCAACACAGGTCAGAGAATCAACAGTTAAAACACATGAAGAATACAGTATAAAGCACACACAGAAGAAAATGTCCATACATGTTGTAGAATGCTAAAGTGTCCTGATCATCACCAATCCTTTCTGTTGGACACTAACTGTCCAACAAGACCCTCCTGCATCGACAAGGAAAAACTCTTAAAAAACCCAGTGGGAAAAAGTGAGAAACCTTGGAGGAGAACTAGGGAAACCCACAGGGAGGGAGACCCATATGAGAAAGGGATCCGCTCCTCCGGACGGACAGACTAATGATCCAGGACCTAAGCTAGCTACAGAACGTGGACCAGTGGACGCTGAACGTGGACAGGTCCGGTGCAGGACTGAAGCACTCCCAGGCGGGTCGGGCGGGGCAGTCCGCAGGTGTAGATGGAAGAGGCCAGGCTCAGAGATCCCGTCATCGTACCATGAAACAGACAATGGGACAACGGGTCAATTATTACCTCATATTTTATAATTTTTTGCTTATTTTGACTGGGAAATAATAACTCTGCTTTCAAACTATGTAAAAAAAAAAGTTAGTGTAATTATCCGGGTTTCGGCTCTGTCTGTCTTTCAAAAACCATTATGCGCACGTCTCAAACATAAAAATTGTGCCGCTCCCCTGTGATCATCTGCGGCTCTTTCCAAACATGACATTTTCACCACAATGATGCATTTGCGGAGCCGTCGCCCGTAACTAAAGGCGAGACCGTAATTTCCTAGGAGGGAATGTGTTGCCACTGTATCAAATATTTAATGCGGCAGCGGGAGGCCAGGCTCGACGCGGATGCCACCTTAGAGCCATTACACAGGGACAAGGTAATTTCTCAGATATTAGTCAAGCACTCCTGCTGTTTGGAATTGAGCAAGAATATGATTTGTGATTTATTATTCATGTGACAGTCAGTTCTCGGTGTTAAGCAGGTTTTTAGAAGTAGTAATAAATAGATATAGGTGCCACACATTCAATTCATGTTTGTGTAGCCCTATCACAGCTGTAGTTATCTCGGAGGGCTTCACAAAACTGTCGATTCTCCAACACCGATCAAAGAATAAAACCGTTCAAACAACAAGAAATGCAGTGGTAAAAACACAGAGCCATTGGTCCATAAGGGCGGATGACCATTGTCCATAAATCTTAAAATGATTAATAATGAATACATTTCGTTGAATGTCGAGTGTCCTGGATCATCACCACTGTCCTCAGATCCTTCTGCATCGGCACGGAAAAACTCTAAAAACCCTGTGGGAGAAAAGTGAGAAACCTCCACGAACCTCCGCTACCACGGACGGACCGGCTGTAGATCCAGAACTCAGGCTGTGGAACATGGGTGTCAAAGTCAAGGCCTCGGGGCCAGATCCGGGCTGCGAATGAATTATCTTTATCCCGGGATGATATTTGATAAGTATTAGAACCAGCCTGCACCGAGCCATACGAAAATATTGGATTTTTCATTTAATGTTCAGGACTTTGAAATGAGTTGAAATGACTGACAGAGCCATATAAAAAGATTGGATTATTCATTTAAATCATTAAATATTATATGGTACACTGTCTTGATTCAATAGGTTTTATGCAATCATCTTAATATCTTTTGATAAAAATTGAACCAGTCTGGCCCTCAGCTTGTAGTTTGTAGCTTGTGGTTGTTTGGCCTCTGACGTATTTGATTTTGACATCCCTGCTGTAGAACGAGGGCCGAGGTCGTGTGATACAGACTGAGGCGGCTCTCATATCCTGAAAAATAACCTTTACAATATCGTTCAGTTTAAGAAGCGGAACTTCCAGATTGAATCCAACAATCTGTAACTCCTTGACTGCCATTGACGTATTTGTCTGAGACCCTCTATTCAACTGGGGATTACAGGACCATAAAAATAGCTAAAAACAAACTTATTCTTGCTGATGAAAGTAGACAATCCAGTCTTTCAGAATCTGGTTTCACATTTCACAGAGTCTGAGGAAATAATTTTCTGTGGGTCTTGAGAATCAGTGAAATCCTAAAAAACAGCTGGTAGTCAATGAGTTACGGGGATTTTGGCAACTTCCAGTATATTTAATTTGGGAAAGAATACAACTCTGTAGCAGTCATCTATATTAAACACCCTCTCATAATAGATTAGTATTTAATAGTATTTAAAACTGTTCCTCCCCTTAAAAACATGCATTGCCAGAAAGATTTCCTACATGAGAATATTTAAACCAATGGTGAGGAGCCTCAGCTTTCCATTGAAGTTTTTAATTCTTCCAATCATGAAGCTGCGGGGGCATCTTCCTGATTGCACTTATCTTGTAATTTGTCAAATACATCTAAGATCATGGAAATGTGTTTTATACAGGACCAGGAGGTAAAGTAATTTTTCTCAGCGCGTGTTAAATGACAATACGAATATATCTAAACATAGCATTTTGATTTGATAGATAATTGATTTGAGATTAAAGTATTACAATTCACAAAGCAGCACAATTCAAGAAGAGTGGATTTAATTACTGTCAGAATATTTGTTATTTTTCATTATTTATGTATTTGTTTTTTCATTTCTTGTACCTTGTTTATTAAAAGTTGCCTTGTGAATGCCTGGAATACAAACACAACGCACATACTCTCCATTACCCTTAGAAATCCCTGTGCATTTCTCACACTTTGCCACAACTTTTGACCAGCTGTAGATAAGCTAACAAATGTGCTATTCAATTATAAGAAAAAGCCATACAAACTCCCTATCAGAGCTGCACATTGTCATCTCAAACAAAACAAGCAGCACGCGCCGCAGTGGCAGTGGCGGTTATCTTTTGCTGTGGGGCCTTTTGAATCTCTGGACCTTATTACCGCAGAGAAGAATGGGCCAAGAGGGGGAGTGAGGATCCCGGATAAAGACACTCGCAGTTGTTAGCGTCTAGATCAGTGGCACGCAGAGAGATGGAGAGATACTGAAGGACAAGTTGGACAAAAGCCACGGCGGCCTGTCTGTGCCGTAACGGGCCGACGCTAACAGGGCTCTTTCAGCTGACGACTTTCATTCGCTGGCTTTTGTGTGACGCCTGTGTTTTTTCTCTTCTGTAGTTCCCGAGTATGGCGCACGAGGATCTCCAAAGAGGGCTGAGTCCGCTGCCGCCAGGATCCACCAGTCTGGAGAGCTACCAGGCTGCCTTAGAAGAGGTATGTGACTCGTTAGCGTTTCTGCGTGAGCCAAAATGTAACCAGTCTGGGGGAGAATTGGCGACAAATCAAGCTTTTTGGGATAATCTAAAAACATTCACTGGAAAATTCACACAGAAGAAAATCAGAATCAGTGATATTTGTATTGCTGTTGTCACAAACTAGGAATGTGTTATGGCTCAAGGTGCAAGTTGTAAACAAATTCTTCAAAATATGACTTAAAATGATTACTATATACAAGAATAATTTTACTAAGTATATAACTAACTATAGACCAATTCATCAGTCCTTATTGTGCCCATGATTTTGTTCAAAAAATAGTAATATCAATAACAATGCATCAGTTTTATAAAGCGCTTTTAGGACGCTCACGCTTCTCAAGTCATTATGTATTCACTCCATACACAATGGTAATCAGCTGATACTGTAGCCACACCTGCCCTGGGGCCCACTGACAGAAGCGAGGCAACCAGTCTGTGCAATCAGCCTCACCAACCATTCACGCGCACACCAGACTCATTCTAGGCAATGTGGGTGAAGTGTCCCACTGCCGTCCCACTGTAGCACCTGGTGTTCACAGGAGTCTCCCATCACAGTACTAACCAGGCCCTGCCTTGCTTAGCTTCAGAGGTCTGACAAGTACCTATTGCAAACCACAGAAAATAAAATACATATAATGAATTGCTCTCAAAATAGTTTGGTTTCCTCACTAGTTTTTTCATGCATATATTTTTGGCCTCTTTCAGATTTGGCAAAACATGTATTGTAATAATATTTTTAAAAAAAACTAATTTTGTTTACATCATTTCACTTTTACAAGACTTTCTGTTGGGACAAACACAATGTATTATTCATGAAAAAAGTTGGGTGCCCTTAGCTTTAAAGCGATCTATTATTAATTCAACCAAAACAGACTTGAACGTGTCTCTGGTCCCCGGTGCAGGTGCTGACGTGGCTGCTGTCGGCTGAGGACGGACTCCAGGCCCAGCCGCACATCTCCGACAACGTGGAGGAGGTGAAGGAGCAGTTCCACACGCACGAGGTGAACGTCCGCAGTGTTGTTTGTACACTGCAAAAAGTGATAAAAATAAGTCATAATGGCAGAATGTATTTTAATATGAGCACATTTTGACTGCTTTAAAGATGCAGTTAGCGATGTTGTTAGCTTAGCCGTAGCACCAACTGGAAACCACTCCCCCCTCCCCTCCCCTCACCACCAAACCAAACACCCAGCATTTTCTTTTCTTTGTCCAAACAGGAAGAGTGGGCGGCAAACGTGAAATTGGCATTTTCTGTTTAGCCTTTTAAGGTTTTAGAAAATAATCCGATAACTCATATGCGCACACTCGCGAGAAACAGGAAGAGGGTGAAGGGGGTAAAGACATCCCATTGGTTCGTTGGGGATGAAAGAATCCCATTGGTTTATTTTTATCGGTCCGCTCCAAAATATGTTTTATTAATTTTTGTAGACTATAGGCACCTGGTCAATTCCATTACTATTTGAAAAAACATGATAACTTGACTACTTTAAGGGTTTAGGGACATTTTCTCACAATATTTAAAAAATGCATCTGGAAAAAATCACCGACTGCCTCTTTCAAAACAAGATTTACCATTTTTCCCATTGGCGAATCACTCAAAAAACACTCAATCAAGCATTTATTACCTCAGACTTGAGCATTTTTTGCAGTGTACGGTGCTCAGTAAGGCTTTGGTCACACGTCACAGGCAGCCTCCAGCGGCTCTGGGGTTGGCTTCCATTTGCAGCGTTTGGTTGTGTTTTGTCGCTCCCACTTCAAGTTAATTTGAACGCATAAATACATATTTTTTTCCGAAGTAAATTGCAATGGAGAGCGTTTCAATTAGGGACTCTGCTCAGTTTAGTTAATTATATGAAGGTTCCACTTGTTTCAATGGATCCTCATAGAGATGGATATTTAGTATTTTAGCATTTAGCAGAGACGAACAAAATACATCTCAACCCGACTCCACCTGACTTACATTTGCAGATTTAAAGAGTTATGAAAAGTAAGTCAAATATTGCTCACATTTGGCAAAATGTATCTTTATTTTCAGCACATTTTGACTGCCTTAAAACAAGATTTGCCAACGGGACAAAGCAAAATGATATTGTTTTAAAAAGATACAATAAATGTCTCCCTTGGAATCAGAACTAAAGCATCAGTTCTTGAAATGGGAATATTGTTTTAAGACAGGATGTACTGAGAAAAAAATAGAAACCACTAAATTCAAGCATTCATTACCTCATAATTTATTATTTTCTGTCCTACACGGCAAAAAACGATAAAATATAAGGTAATAAATGCTTGAGTCAAGAGGTTTTTACCTTAATTTGCACACATTTTGACAGTCTAAAAACAAGATTTGCCGTTGGGAAAAGAAAAAAATCAAGAAATGTCTCCCTTGGAATGAGACAAAAATGGCAACAGCACTTGATAAAAGACCAAATGGCTTGTTCCAATGACAAATCTTGTTTTAATCAAATCAAAACATACTCAAATTAAGACAAAAAGACTTGATTCAAGCATTCATTTACTATATTTTGTCACTTTTTGCAGTCTGCTTGTGGTCTTTTCACCCACAAATATGGTTCTGTCTTCTTTACAACTAATGCATTTTACTGTATCGGAATGTCCTCCAAGCAAAACATTCCTCTACCTACGCTAACTTTTGGCTCGGTGTCCAGCAAACCAAGCCAGTCTAATTGAATGAGACAATATGAAACTATAATGTGATATTAGGCTCCAATTTCATATTTACCGTCTGCTACTTCTCGCGCTTTAGGCAGCGGTGTAAATATCCTCTTGATGGATGTAGTCTTCCTGGAACTGTGGCTTGTATTGACTTTTTCGCTCTCAAAATTAAATTAACCCTGAACATTTTGCTCGGCGAGACCCTGGGAGGGCCATAGACGAGTTAAGTGCTGCCTATAAGTGGATTAAGCGGCGAGGTGAGAGGGGAAAATGGCTTTTGAGAGGTGGTGAATTGAGGTAGGAGGAGAAATAGGCCGGTGATATAGAAAGGTGTGTGTTATTTATTGTTTTTTCCGTGCTTTAGGGCTACATGGTGGAGCTGACTACGCACCAGGGCAACGTGGGCAGGGTGCTGAGAGCTGGCGCCGCCCTGCTGGCCGAGGGGAACCTGAGCGAGGACGAGGGGCAGGAGGTCCGAGAGCAGATGAATCTCCTCAACTCCAGATGGGAACACCTACGAGTGGCCAGTATGGAGCGCCAGAGCAGGTCAGTGTGCGGCCGAGTCCCAAGCCAAGGTCAAAACGGTGCGTCTTCCCCCTGGAGATGTTTTTATAATGAACTACGGAAGAGCGTTACTGTGGAAACAAGCAGGCGTGTACGAGCCAGGTTTGTGGAGAACATTGGTCAACTCCCTATGGAGCATATGTGTTCTCTATTCTATGTGTTTGATTCTTTGATTTGATGTATTTTGGCGATTTCAACGGTTTTGTGAAGTCCATCCATCCATCCATTTTCTTCCCCTTAATCCATTTCTGGGTCGGGGGGATCTGCACCCAGGGCTCCACAAGAATACATTGAATTGAATTGAATTGATGATGTACATTTGTAGTAAAAATACAATTATATGAATGAATCAGACTCAAAAACTGATTTAAAAGAAAAGTTCCCAGATGAATGTAACCCTTTATTTTCAGATACAAAAGTTGGAACCTTGAAACTTTGTGAGAGATAGAAGACTAAAAATCAATAACGGTTGTCCTCTGTCTGTAAATACAAATCCAGGAAAACATTATCACTGTTACCGACTGCCAATGTATGGAAAGTGTTCGGGATTCAGGTGCTGTATGTACGACTGTGCTTTTTTGTCCTAAAGAGTTAAAGGAGCTATACCCGTTTCTGCAAAGTTTGAACGTTTAGCCCCGCCCCCAACTCGCTCACAGGCTTCTCATTTCCCCTACGCTCTCATCCCACGGAGCCATCTAGTTTTATTTGCGATCTGATACATATGCTAACATTAGCATGAGCGCAACTTCTTGTAAGCTGTACAACAATCACTGATGGTACAAAAGCAACGCACTGCTAACAAAATACTGAAAGATTACAGCTAGTTCTGCGTCCGAATGTGGTCCGAGCATAGATAGTCCGAGCGTAGATAGTCCGAGCGTAGATAGTCCGAGCGTAGATAGTCCGAGCGTAGATAGTCCGAGGCGGTCCCGCAGGTCTCTCCCATAGACCAGTCTCTCCAGAGGATACGATGTAAGCTAGCTATGTTCAGAGCTTGATTTCTTCTTTGATCATGTTTTGGCTTTAGTTCCTCTTCTCTTCCTCACTGTTGTGTGGTTTGGGCTGTTTTGCTGTGTCTGCAGTTACAGCCAGAGGAGTTATAGCCACTTATGCTAACATGCTACTGTGTTTAGCAGCGCCGTAGAGGCTAGAGGACGCAGCCTCGTTCTGTGTCTCTAAGTCTCTACGGCCTGAATTCATACACAGCTGAATCAATGAGCTCAAGTTTTCATTTAAATTACGGATTATAATACAACGTGTATGCAGTAATAAGCACTTTTATGAACTCAATATAAAAAAATAAGGTGTAGCTTCTTTAAGTAAAAACCCTTTCATTGTCATAATTACAAAGTACATATTATTCCCTGAACTACTTTATACGTGGTTCAGCTGCTGGAGTGTCCGCCTCAGTGCAGCGTCTGAACAGAGTCCAGAGGAGCAGTGCTCTCTCCGCTCGGACTGCGACCTCATTACGAAGCCCACCGCACTGATAGCCCACGTCCCTCGGTCACTTTTAATTAACTGTGCCGCTATCTCTTTGATAATCATGTTGATCCTGGCACAAAGCTCTGTGGCGATGACTGTTAAATACTCCCCTTACAAGTGCACAGGCCCGGTCAGACAAGGGGGTGGGACCTCTGAGTGTCCTCTCTGACCATGTTGTCCTACAGGTTTCATGCAGGCCTGGTCAGCCCTCTGAGTGTCCTTTCTGACCATAGAAAAGCAAGGCAAGTTTATTTGTATAACACACTTCATACGTATCCAAGGCAATGTGCTGAACAAAACAAGATAGAAATAATCACAGCACATTAAAAAGAGCAAAGATAAAATCCCTCAGTTGTATGCAACCTGGATTTTAACATCAGAGCAGTAGCCCGTCTTACAGGAGGACTGCTGAAGATTTTAGCTGCATAAATCTGAAATGCTGCTTCCCCATGTTTAGTTCTGACTCTGAGCACCTGCAGGAGGCCAGTCCCTGTGCTCCTCAGAGTGAGAGTTGGTTCATATGGCACCAACATGTCTCTGATGTGCTTTGGTGCGAGGCCATGGAGAGACTTGAAATCCTAAAGGTTCATGCAGGCCTGGGCAGACCTCTGAGTGTCCTCTCTGACCATCTTGTCCCACAGGCTTCATGCGGTCCTGATGGAGCTTCAACATCAGCAGCTGCAGCAGCTCACGGACTGGCTGGACGTGACCGAGGCCCGGATCAAGAGGATGAGCGGTCAGCCTCTGGGGCCGGACCTGGAGGACGTCAAGCACCAAGTGGAGGAGCATAAGGTCAGTGTACAACAGAGACAGCAGGTTCTCAGACTAATGCTGCCGTACAACAGTGTTAGTCTGTGAAAGATAAGTTGTGGCCATAGTTATCATTGAATAGTGTTATAATTATAATGTTGTGCCACTGGAAAGATGAATGAATAGCATTACATTTACCAAGTTGTTTTTCAAAAGCCAGATCTATTATCACACAAATGGAAGATTCACCTCTTCTTGAGCAAATTATTTCAAAATGACTGCCATTAACAAAACCTGTTGAACGCTGTAGCTAGAGGAAGCCAACATATTGACAATGTTTCAAAAATGTGTTCTTCAACTGCCATAGGCCATAATTAGTGCAAGGCATTTCTCCTATACCTTTCTCACAGTATAATGCAGCCTCGGTCACACAGATACAACATTAGCATACACCTGAGAAAATGTGCCTATGGATAGATGTATTATGGATGAATGCGATGTTAATTCTTGCGTTATTTAATTGCAGTGATATATGTAGAAAAAGGTTACACAAGAAAGACATTTTTGTTTTGTACATATGTAGAAATAAAGTTATTAAAGGTGGTTTGAATAATGACTAATGTTCTAAATCAATCTCAGGCTTCTGCTGAGCCTTTTACTAAAGCTTCCTTTTATATTGTCACAGTGTTAGTCCTGTGTTAAGGATTTAGTCCTTTTAAATTCAATTTATTTGTCACAAAAGGAAAGTTTTCTACAGAGAGTAATCAGCGTCAAACCACACACTTATTTTTCTGCTGTAAATGAAAGTACTTATTAGTCAGGATGGACTACAGGGACATGGACTGTTTTCTCCTTTGTCCTCTTGTGGCTCTTAACTTTTCCACACATGTGCACTTTGGATGTTGAAAGTAATTAGCTAAAACTAAAAACACAAACTTTATTTTTAGATACATATTCAACATTAAGTGCAACAATGGCGACATAGAAAAACAATATAAAAACAATAACTTATCTGTCTTTCTTTGCTTGCTATAATCATGGGTCTTCCAAAAAGGCCCAGACTTGAATATTTCTTCTTCTGTGGTGGAGCCGCTCGACCTTCAGCTGAAAAATAGACTTTAAATTCAGGAGCAAAGATCTGGGGGAGATTACTGTGTTTTGGGTGGCCCTTTCCCCACTACAATAGAGTGATTGGTTAAATTACTTCTGACTTGAGGAGTTCGCACAGCCAGGCATCACCTCTTTCTCTGTGAACTTTTATTTTTATTCTCCAGTCCCTTGGCTCTCACCAGAATCTCATTTGAATCAGGAATTGCAACCAGCGGAGAAATGATTTTTGAGAGACTGGGAGCCATTACAAAAGCACTAGAAATGGAAAAGTGCAACCACCGCTGGGGCTTTGAACGACCAAATTTTGTTTCCAGTCTGCGCCAGTCGTGGGCTGTTTACGATCGCTGTGCCGAGGAGCCAGATTAGAAAATGGAAATAGAACGGGGCGGCGATGGATTGTAAAGAGGAGTTGTGGAGATACAGTAGATGTAGGAGATGTAGCCTTGTCCATAAAAAGCACACGGAATCCACGTAGATTTGAAATTTGACAAATATTGAGTCTGACTTTATACTAAGTGGAATAGTAATGGACTAGTAGAAAAAGACAAGTATGCCAAAAATTATTTACAGGATAATATGGATTTTTGGGTGGTTCCTTGCCAATGCAGGAGGTTCTAAGGCCAGGATTTAACTGCTGCTATCAATGTGGCAGTGTGTGTGTGTGTGTGTGTGTGTGCGTCTATGATTACTGTGTGTTATATCATATTTTTGTATTTTTTTGTTTAACCATATTTTTTTACCCCAAGTAGAATAGCTGCTGTATCTTTCAGTAGCGAATGGGGAACTAAATAGAAAAAAAATCAAAATATATGGACATTTACTAGCATTTAAAGATATTTCTTGTGTTCGAACCAGTTTGATTCTCTGATCAGTGTTGGCCAATCAACAACAAAGTAACGTTTTTTTACATGGGGCTAAATCTGGAGCATGTTTTAAAATAGATAATTTACTAAACTTACAACAGCGTCTTTAATACAATGCAAACAGAGGTCTTGGGTTTGAATCTCGGTCGAAACAGGAACTTTCTGAGTGGAAATCGCATGTTCTCCCTGTGCCAGCGTAGGTTCCCTCCAGGTGCCCCGGTTTGTGTTTGTGTATAATTGATGCTCCAGTGTTTTCGACGTCTCCCTTCCGTCATCGGCGTGTGTGAATGGAAAACTTTTTTTTAACATTGATAAAAACTAGTTCCACTTCAGGTCATCTGGACAAAAGCACACAAAGTTTAGGCCAAAGTTGTCATTCTGTTTTACATGGTTAGACTTGCATGCAGGAGACAGCAGAAGAAAAAAAAAAGTTTGCTTATATTGTGTAGGTATTATGGACATATTATTATTCTGTATTGAACTTTAGTGTCACGTGAGAATTAAAGAAATAGGGAACCCAAAATGCAGGACTGAAAATCAAATGTAATTTAATCAAATCAAAGTCCAGAGAGACAAAAAGCACAAAAATCCAGAACTGAAAAACTAGACAAGAATAACGTGGTAGAGACAATGGACAGACAACAAAAAGCAAAAAGCACAGGGTATAAATACACACAGGAGACACAGGTGGATCCCATTAGGGCGGGGCTAATAATCAACAGGACAGACAGGAAGCAAACTCAAAATACAAGAGAACTAATAAAGTAAATAAAACCAGGTTAAAATAATCCAAGAAGTCCACACCATGACATTTAGTTTTTGATTTTTCTTGGACTGAATCAAAACTGGACCAAAAGTGCTCCCATAGAATGGCCCACATCTGCATGCAACCCTCTCTCGTCAGACCAGCCGGAGCCAACAGTGAATTATAATATACAATATATTTTAGCTACATATGATTTACTAAAATTATGATTTAAATAACATTTCAATGTCAACATTGTAAAGCGCTTTGGGTGACCTTGGTCTGTAAAATGTGTAAAATTACCTACTACTCTTTACATAAATTTTCAGATACATTTTTTTCTGATAAAATAGCGCCGCATGTGTTTGTTAGTTTTGCTCATCCCTCTGTCGTGACATTCACTCATACAGAAATGACAGTTTGTGTGCACACGCTGTCGTAGCATTTAGCTTCAGGGAATCCAGAGACCACGAGGAGCATTTCCATTGCACTCATGTAAGTATTGTTTGCCACCCGGAGCTAAATACGGCCATGCATCTTCACCGCTCCTATGGTTTCGGCGTCCTGTTGGGTGACAGAGAACCCGAACGACTGGCTTCCTGTGGCTGGTTGACGCTGGCATCATTAGCATCCCGTAGATCGCGAGGCTAATGGACTGTTTTGTGTGCGATCTACAGCTGCTGCAGGAGGATCTGGAGATGGAGCAGGTGCGGGTCAACTCCCTGACGCACATGGTGGTGGTGGTGGACGAGAACAACGGAGACAGCGCCACAGCTGCCCTGGAGAGCAAACTGCAGGTAAGGCAGGCTGCATGGATCTACTTTTAACTGTAGCAGCGGTGGGTTATTATTCTCTCCAGGAGGCCACATTGGGACTTGTTTTCTTGTGGTTACTCTTTAATCTATTTAGAAACAACATATTTGAGTGATGCTTTTCTTCAGTTAAGAGAGGGAGAGGGAAACCTGAAGCTATTGAATGTTATTTTGTTTGTGTAAAGTGTGTTAGCTAATCCTTTGCATCTGCCACTAATATTTAGTTTTGAACCTTTTACAATATGGACTTTTTTGAGGACATTTTTATTGTATTTTTTGCTTGGACTGAACCAAAGCTGGAATAAAGCGCAAGTAAGAAGTAAGTCATTGGGAATTGATCCATATTCATTTAAAAACGGCGAGACAGTCAAAGTTTGTGGATGGGAAAAGGTCCGTAAACCACATTGCATTGTGAATCGAGCCACACTTTGCCCAGGTCTGATCTCTAGGCTATTGGGCTGAGTCGGAAGATCTCATCACCACACTGCAAAAATGTATACATATGAGATAATTGCTTGAATTGAGTGGGTTTTATCTTAATTTGTGTACATCTGACTAGAACAAGTTTCTCTAATGGGACAAAGCTATTTCACTGTTGCTGTATTTTATCATTCCAACGGAGACATTTCTTGTTTCTTTTCAAAACGTCCCATTGTCCCATTGGCAAATCTTGTTTTAAGGCAGTCAAAATGTGCCCCAATTTATATACGTTATATATAAGAGTTCCTTTATTCGTCCCCCAGTGGGGAAATTTCAATGTTGCAGCGCACAGACAGGACAGTAGTAAGAGCGCACAGAGAGCACACAAAATATACAAAAAAAGTAGTAGCTGTATTACTTAACTATCTGTAAATGCTCTAAATGCTTTGATACCAGTTATTCAAATAAAATATACATAGACAGTATGTAGTACTGCACAGTTATGTACTGTACATATAGTGCAGGATAATAGGCAGATAAGTAAAGTGACATTGTTCAGTGACATTCTGAAGGAGCAGTATTGCACATGATTTAGTATTTACTTATTAACAGATGGATGACTTTTGCACACTCAGCAGTTCTTATTGTACAGTCTGACCGCAGCAGGAAGGAAAGACCTACGGAACCTCTCCTTCACACAGTGAGGGTGATTTAGTCTGTCACTGAAGCTGCTCTCCAGAGCAGAGAGAGTGTCCTGCAGGGGGTGACAGTCATGGTCCAGCATAGATGTTAGTTTGCTCAGGACCCTCCTGTCCCCCACCTGCTGCACTGTGTCCAGGGAACAGCCCAGGACTGAGCTGGACTTCATGATGACCTTGTCCAGCTTCTTCCTGTCCCTCTCTCTGATGCTGCTACTCCAGCAGACCACACCGTACAAGAGGCTGATGCCACCGCAGAGTCATAGAAGGTCTTCAGGAGTGGCCCCTGCACTCCAAAAGACCTGACCCCTCTTGAAGAGGGCGTCTGTGTTATGAGTCCAGTCCAGTTTTTGGTTCAGATGAACACCCAGGTACTTGTAAGAGTCCACTCTCTCAATATCCTTTCCCTGGATGTTCACTGGGGCTGGAGCGGCAGAATGACGTCTGCGGAAATCCATCACCATCTCCTTGGTCTTCCCCGCGTTGATGAGGAGGTGGTTCATCTCCTTGGTCTTCCCCGCGTTGATGAGGAGGTGGTTCCGCTGACACCAGTCCACAAAGTCCTGTATAACTCCTCTGTACTCTGCGTCATTGTCCTTGGAGCCGAGTCCGATGATGGCAGAGTCATTGGAGAACTTCTGGAGGACACAACCGTCCGTGTTGTGTCTGAAGTCCGCAATGTAGAGGGTGAAGAGGAACGGCGCGAGAACAGTCCCCTAGGGGGCCCCACACTGCAGGTCAGGACCTTAGGCTCTAAGTCCCTGGTTCTCACAAACTGGGGTCTGTCTGTGAGGTAGTCCAGGATCCACTCGGACAGGTCGTAGTCCACTCCAGCTGTCTCCAGCTTGTCCCTGAGAAGCCTCGGCTGGATGGTGTTAAAGGCGCTGGAGAAGTCGAAGAAGAGGATCCTCACAGTGGAGCCCGGTTTCTCCAGGTGGGACAGCGAGTGATAGAGGAGGGAGATGATGGCGTCCTCAACTCCGATGCCTGTACGCAAACTGCAGTGGGTCCATCGCTGGGCTCAGAGTGGAGCGGAGATATCCCAGGACCAGTCTCTCCATTTAGGTACAAAATTGGTCAAATTTGGTACCTATTTTCCAACACTTTTTGCCGCGTCCCTCCATGACCCGTCTCAGGACAAAGCCGAAGAACATTAAGCGAATGGATAATTGATAACAGATCTCCCCCAATCACCAGAGATCGCCGCGGTCTATAAATTTGCCGGCAGATAGTTGCCTCTGGCCTGTTGCCGTAATTAGCTCGTTGAACCTAGCTTGCCTCATTTTGTTTACTCAATAAGTTATGGGTGTCCAGTCCCCAGTCCCCAGTCCGCCTCATTGTCCGCGCCTGTCTGCCTCGCTGATGCATGGCTCTCGGTTCCCCTTGTTAACTCCCGCACACAGTAAAGAATATGCTTTAAAATCTATTACAATCTGCACCTCGTCATTTCCCTGACTTAATTACAGCGCCGCAGCCTTTGCTCTCAGTTCAGTGCCAGTAATGAATATTCTTTATGAGTTTATCGCCGCGATCGCCTTGAAGAGTTTAATGGTATTTAATTCAATATTCATAATTTCTGGATTACTGTTTGGGTAATAAGTCTTCTAGTTATTCTTCAAAAAGTTTTTTCTTGGATCTAAATTTGAACGTAGGTGTGTGTACCTGTAAGTGAAAGACAGATCCCGTCAGCCCTCTGAAGCTAAGCAGGGTAAGGCCTTGTTAGTGCCACAGTGGGGCGGCTGTCCATAGGCAAGACACTTCGCCCACTCATAGCCTAGAGTGGGTCTGGTGTGTGTGTGAATGGTTGGTGGTTGTAGGGGCTGATGGCACAGACTGGTTTCCTCGCTTCTGTCAGTGTGCCCCAGGGCAGCTCCAGCTATAGTAGTAGTTAATCTCCACTACGTTTGGAGAGAAAGAATAATGCCGCGAATAGTAATGTGAATCTCAATATAAAACCAATGTATTATTATTATTATCATTATCATTATTATTATTATTTTTTTTTTATCATTTTGATCATTATTATTATTTTTATTATTATTATTATTATTATTATTATTACCATTATTATCATCATTATCATTATTATTATTTTTATTATTAATATTATCATTTTATTATTATTCTTTGAATGTGTAATTCTGTGTTTTTTTTGTCCAACATCTTTGTTGGACAAAAAATTATTTTTGATAACTGTCTCATTCACTAACTCTTTTCTAAAAGCGTGTTTGTAAAGTCATAAAATAGGTTCAGTAACTCTTCTCTTGCCACTCCAGCTCAAAAAGCATTCATTTATGTATTTATTCATTTTTGCGCTCCACACAAATGGTATTATTTAACTCTTTTTTTTCATCCATGAAATCGGCACGCCTGAAATTCAAATTATAAAGAAAGTCCTTTTAATAATGCAACTGTCAAATAAAAAGTGTGGAATGTTTTTTGTTGTTGTCAATTAGCCAATTAATCAGTCAATAATTTATATACTCCAAGTCAATTCAAAGTGCTTCGCAAGAGCTATTTAAAAACACAAATAAAAATGTATTAAAGTCGATGAATTATACAATCATTTCATATTTAAACAGAGAGGCATGAAAATATGGGGTTTAAAATTAAAATGTGGGTTTAAAAAGGAAAATAAAAGCAATAAATAAAAATAACAGTAAAAAATAGAATTTGTTTTATGCACAGCTAGTCTCCGTAATTGTCTTTCCCTGCTCTATGTAACGTGAGATTTGGTCCATTTTATTGTTTTCTTGCTCTACGTAACGTGAGATTTGGTCAGACTCAAAGCACAGGATCTGAAATGGAAATGAGAGTTGTAATCAGCCGGTCTGTGCCCTCTGCGACTTTTGTGCATCTTTGAAGAGACACAACAAGAGAAAAGAGGAGGTTTTGGCGTCGGGAGGCTTCACTCTGAGATAATTGAATGGACTAAAACTTCCCCACGGAGTTAAAGTTTGAAGTGCACAGGTCTGTGTGGAAAGCAGAGCGCTGGAAATGGTAATGGCTCTGAGATATAAGCAATTAAGACACAGGACATTGTTTTACTGGATTTTGAAGTTTTGTTTGTCCTTTATTAAAGCTGCACTAACTGACTTTATTATTGAAGAATAAGTAGCGCAGGTTTGTGCTGGCGTGACATTATATTTTAGATCAAGTTTTGGTGAAACAAGTGTAACATGTCACGTGATTAGAGAAGAACAAATAATATAAACTAAGAAGAACTGATTCGGCTCGGAGGAAAGTGAGACAATGCTTAATAAAAGACAGATACGAGGGGTACAATTATGGGTTTTGTATTGTGATGAATGATATGTACATGTGAAGCAATATACAGAAATATATACAATATGTACAAAGTGCACTGTTGGTAGTTGATCGGAATAAGGTATGGTCCACAGTCCAGAACTCTAACTCAAGAGTGTAATCCACAACGCAATGGGTTATTGTCCATGTGTAAAAGCAGCAGAGATAGTTCGTTTGAATAATTAGTCCAGAGTATGAATATTGTCCCCAAAAGCGTTGGAAGTGAGTGGGTGAGTTATGTAGCTGCAGAGCCCCCTACCACATTCGCAGAATCAAATAAAGATGTACTCTCCTGAAGCCCAGAAAGTATTGAGGACCTGGCCGGTTCCTTGCTGAATACAGAGCACACAAACACACAATGTGCTCAGTAAGGTAAGGTAGTGGGGGCGAAAGCTCCGTGGGTGCGGGGAGGGCGAGCAGAGAGAGGGAGCCCATCGCTCGCGTTTGAAGATGTCTCCAAATCAGTTTGTGCAGCTTTAAAACAACAACACAGACAAACACATCAACATTCAGCGAGAACACAAAAAGAACACAATGTAAAACAATAACACAAAAGTACAA